ACTCCCCACACTTTATTGCATGAGCGGATTTTTCGGTATACATGTAGCCTGACTAGGTTCGTTGTAATTATAATCTTCAGTGACGCACGTAATTCTGTGGAGACGAGTGAGCAATCCAATTTTTATTTGCTCAAGCATTAACCATGAACTTTCTATTCGGTCTTATACTATCTCATTCTCACAACCCTATTTGTCCTTACCACTACCCTACCGCTTCACAAATGCGAATTTTTTTGTTCCACCTGTGACATTCTAATTTGCCATTTCTCTAATTATAAACGTACGGGAAATATGGGACCCATGCTTTTATACCCGTCAGAAACCATGGTTCTATTGTTTCCTTGAATCTTCATTTACTCTTTTACCTCTTTTTCAGTTGCGATAGCTGTGTACATTCGATTCACGGTCTGTTCTCTTTTGGGATCCATCCAGTTGCTTGAAGGTTCCTTCAAACTCATAACGTTGATATGTTTTGGTCTCATTAGCTGGCCACAAACTTTGGTCTTCCATAGACAGCTAATTTGCGACAGTTGAACATCCTATTCATGTTAGGCAAAAGACCTTATCAGCTCTAGTGATTTTAGCAAGACTTAAAGGAATCATTGTCATGCGGTTAGTTAAGATACAAGCTGATAAATTTAAGCACGTACTTTCTTTCGTTGGGATCAGTTTTGGCCTCCGAACACTTTGATCCACAACATCCTTCCCCATTACTGCACACAGAAACTCAGTAGAAGCTTCACGATACACCACGAACGTGAACGCTTTCAATTATTCAAGTTAGAAGAGCATCCATGAACAAAACTGAGGCCCTACTATTACAGTCATCTTAAGCTAAGAACCATTTTTAAGTTTGGGGTTCGTTTGCTCTACATTTAATTCTCGAGAACCACGGCCTAGTTATGGGTAATGCTAGGATTATTGCTTGTAAGTGCTTCCCTCACTGTGTACAATTCAGTACCATATTTTTCTCTAATACTTAATCATGTCTTCATTGTTTCCAGCTCATTATCCCATTTCACTAGAGCTGACGGTTTTCTAAATTGCATGATTGCGATAATTAATCTGATGCATGCATTAATTCGTTTAAGGGATAGTACGACAAACAAAATCAGTGCTACCGGGCTCTCCCTAGGCTAATCTACAAAAATATGTATCCAGCGTCTCAAGAATGTTAGGGTATTAATTCTGTGCGTTGCACACGAGGTTACCTCGCCGGTTACATTGTATCTGTGCGTTTTCTATCATGCCAACTGGTTACTAACCCATTTGTTTTTCAACCATGCTGGCTTTACTCCAGTTCGACTCCGTATATACTTTGTGTAGGAAATGGTGCAAAAAAGTGTTTCGGCGATTCGATTTGAAGTTTACGCTAAATAGTGGACAGCTTTTAGCGGTGTGCATTATTACTTATACAAAAGTGCATTTTAGGGGCCGCTGGTTCCAAGCATCACGCCGACCAGTATACAATAATGAGCTTTGCTGTGGGCGTTTGAATAAGATCAATAGAGATGGATTAAGTTCACGTAGTTGGTCATGAAAAATTGCATTTCCGGACACCTTCACCGGGGCAATTTACAAGACCATGATCGAAACAAAATTTATGGTCGCGTTGGTCTCCACGACTTGGTTGAAACAGAACAGCAGTTCATGAAATAATACAGTGCTGTAGTGGTTACTAAAGCGCATCATACAAACTTGGTCTTTTGAATTCAATCAGTAGTAGTAACTCAAATGACGTCGCCTCGGTTGGCCAGAAGAAACCATTTTTATTTTGCACAGATGAGAATGAATACGAACATTGTATCCCTAAGCACAACAAGCGGAAATCAATATATGCAGAACTCCCTGAACAGGACTTATATCTTTAGTTGCTGGTTTTCTCTACGTCGCGTACCATCCGACGTGGTCAAGAACCGAACAAACACATACTCGTGTTCAACGTTTTGAAGCTTTGTTATTCAAATAAATATAGCTTAGCTCAGATAAACGAGTACCTCATATGATCAGAGTGAGTGTCGACATGGTAACAGCCGATTCCAGAAGCATTACAACATTAAAACTGTTGCATCGGCTTTATTCCCCTACCGGCCGATTGCAATTAGAGCACAGATTTAATAACTGAATCCTTCACAACTGTTCATACTGAGAACGCTTACAGTTTAGAAGCTACTTCAGTGCTTCAAGCGATATCCTAATGTTTGCGATTTTCCAATGGACTAGCTTCCCACTGCTTGTGCATGATAATTGCTAGTTGGCATGTTTTCTGCACTTTATAGACAACACCAAACGAACTATTGGTCAGTGCAGAAAGTTAGTACAGGAAAGTTTGTTAGTGCGTGTTGTTTTTGATGGATGGATTATCTATGAGCCAGTACAAATCTTAGAAGATTAAAACACAAAGTAATGAATAGTGATAGGTTCGGAGGATTGTTCTGAAACCGATCATTGTGCACTCCTTTGTATTCTAAAGTTATTTGCTCTGTACCGGCCGGTAGATAAATACTTGAAAACAGTTGTCTACCTCAGGCTAGTATTAGCTCCGAATTTCCTAGAATGTTTCATATGTGAAGAGCATATCAGTTAAATTTGCGGCCAGTGATCCGTGTGTCGGTTGATTTGATGCTAAGCGACAGGATTTCCGTAGTGCAAAGGTAATACATTCTTTTGCACTTAGTGATGGGAATTCTTCCAGTGTTTGGGTCACTAACTCCTAATGAATATTCTTGGATAAACAAGTATTTGTTGCGTTATGGAAAATATTTTCCAAATCAAACGCTTTGAATATGAAGTATAGAGAATTTGCTAATCAACATAACGTATAAGTTACAGAGACATATGAATGTAAAGAAATGTGTCACAAAACCCCTAAAGTCAATGATTTTGGTTTATTGTTAGCACCGGTAGAGCAGGGCCAACCAATGGTAGGTTAGTTTAGTGGTGCGGAAAAAAAGGGTGAAGTTATTTGTCGCACAATTTCTTATACATCAGGAGTCAAGCAGTTAGCTGGAAAAAACACTCCGAACCATTTAAGCTTGAAGCTGACAGACACTGGATATTGTTAGACCGTTGTGTAATTATGCAGGTTGTTAGTTTATCCACTCAATACCGGCATGCACAGGAAGCATTCAAACTGTTCGCAAATTGTATAAAAGTTCAGGATAACACGTGACGCCGCCTATTTGTTCATTGTGAACGATAACCCATCGTTTTCATCCAGAGTATTTAAGAACCATTCAGCGTTCGCGGTGCTTTATGTGCTTACTTCCTTCTGATAAATTGTAATGTTTTCAAAGAGCTGACGAGCGGCCACCTGATATTTTCGTTTTCTAGATTCATCACTGTTCTAATAAGTAAAGGTCGAGTTGCAAATCTCTGAATACAGCAGTTTGATGATAGGAAAATTTTGTTTCTAAAATTATGTATGCATCTTTCCTAGAATTCAGAAGGTTCATATGATTGTCAGAAGTTTTGCCATCGAAAGCCTTTAGATGAATGTAAACACTACCAAAGAGCATTAAATTAACCGTAGTAAACTTGAAACAAGATTTACGCCACGCTTCTTTGAATGGCTGTTAATGCGTTAGAGATTGCAATAAATTTTGTTGCTGTTTACTTTACTCAAGCGTTTAGTCGATGCGTTAAAAATTGCTTTGGTTGAAAAGATCTGTCTTCTTTCGAAGTGATTGGCGGCGCATCAGTTACCTGAATCCAGCTCCTCAGCCATGAGAAGTTCATAGTAATCAAGTGTATGTCTGAAAATTTGTGATCACGGAACCGAAAAGTGTCAGCAGTGGCTCATGTGACAGAACGGAGACACCGGTGTTAAGTCAACATTAAAAGCGATTTATGCTTCTAGTAAGTAAACGCGGACCGAAAGTTTCTGAACCTCCGTTTGGGAAAGGATCAAGAGATGCGAGGCGGAGGTTGGTTGGTATTATAATAGCTTAATGACCGTCTAAACTTGCTTGTGTAGCATTCCTTATGAGACACGTGTTTTATCATATTTTCATTATAAATATTGCTCTCCTGGAGGATTCCACTGCTGTAGTACATGTATCCTTCCTTCCCCTATTCAGTACTCTACGGCTATTCGTAACGTCTCTATAAAACAATGGAAGTATTATCAACAGCATCATTGTCAGTCAACTACCGTTATCAGGGCATTAGCATTGATGCTTTCGTTTGCACTTTAGACTGTGGAATGCACGCGTGTCAAATAGTTTGCAGAATGTATTAGACTACCTTGTCTTCCGCTGGCATAGCAGAAAAAACATGCAAAACTGGGACAGAAAGGATGACACTATCCTTGTGTCGCCGAATGCAAAGCATACAATATTGTGGATGGATTTCCTGGATTTTAACAAGGCTATCTTCCACTTAAAAGGAGGGCGCCTGTTACCTAATTATGGGTCGCTGTCACTCATTAGCGTTAAAGAATAGGTCCAATTGCATTTTTGCTGTTACCGTGTTACACGTGGACAAGGATTTATTGGGAATCATCATCAAGTACCGACATCTGATTGAGGATGACTGCGGTCGGTATGGATATGTGGCTTGATCAAGCACGCTGTTCTGCTAACCCGATAGACGGAACTTCCAAAACAGCCCCGGAGATTATCAGTTCAATTGGCGAGAGATGTGAAGAAGCAAGTTCAAGAGATGCTGGATGCGGAAGTGTTGCAGGTGGCCCGCAGTCCATATTATCTTAAATTTGTTTTGTGGAAGTAGGTTAATGAGGAGAGTAGAGTTTCTGTGTAGGCTTTCAAAGGCAGTTGGAAATTTAGCTTACTTGCTCCGTCCCAGTGCCACTTTATTTGCTGGTCTGGCGTTGCCAAAATTGAAAGTTAGTTTATCCATCCACTGTTGGTTTATCTCCAATAAAGTTCTCTCAGCTGTTAGTCGTGAGGAAATCCCTGAGGAGGTAAGCCAATAGATAGCAGTTGGTTTAATTCATCTGCCTCCTTCCTACTTCAGCTCCCCGGTTTCATTGTTATCAGTGTGCAGCATGGACGTTGCCTCTACTGCTTCAAGCATTCTTTCTGAAATGCACTTTCCGCTACTTGTCCGTAGCTTTCGGCATGCCAGTGAATCGCCGTACCTTGGTATCAAGACCCAAACAGATTCGAAAGTTATCCCTAGATTGTAATCAAAATGCTGGCGGTGCGATGGTGAAAGCCGACCAATGTTAGTTTGGCGTTTATTTGAGCATACCACAGCCATCTTTTCGTTTACCTTCTGCAAGGAAATTCCCATCGCTTAGCTGATTTAACGAACAAGCAATTTTTGCAGCATATAATAACAAGCGTCTTGGCGCATCTTACGCAACTAGGGGGAACACAATTATCACTCACTCCGGCATGTCTGTGCAGAGTAATTACAGGAGGGGATACTATTAGGCGCTACAGTTTAACTGCAGCTTAGTGACACTGTGCAAGGCACCGTTATGCAATAATCTTACCTTCAGTTGCACAGATAGGGTACGAAGCAGTTACTTTATTTATTAAGTTATGATAAATTACTGGTTAAAGATGGGTCCTTAAATCCTAGCTGGGATGACGCGGACTAGTATTCTGTCATAATAAGCCAAATTAGATAGCAAAGTTTATGGGTGGTCTGAAAGTATAAAAAATCGACTAAAGGTGCTGGGAACTGCATTGTGTGTTTTTGAAAGTCACCTTTTATCGGCTAAATATGTCAAGAAATTAACATATTAATGAAATTAGGAACGGGTCGTGTTCAAAAGGCAAATAACACACCAAAACACTGTTATCAGTCAGCAACATGTTGTACACCATTAAATATATCGACTAAACATTATGGATAAAGATGCTTTTACCATTAGAAGGGATTTACAGTAACCTTCGTTAGGTTTCGATGCATCGGACTATATATAAGATGGTGCCACTTGCTGTTTAGAAATAACCAGTTCAAGTCAATGTGACAAACCCCATTTAATGTTCCGGGTCAGGAAATCATGGATAATATTGAAAATAGCACAATACGCATCACTAAAGCTTCGTGATAACAAGAATAATTTTCCGACTTTGGCTCTTGAGGAGTGTGTTACTTTGCCGAGCCTCTTAGTCTTGTTGTCTCCTCAGTTCTGTTGATAAAACATTAGGCATGGTCAGTTTACTTCGTCTAAAAAAGCCTTTCTATCAAGAGGGAACATCGCCCACGAATACCATAGCTAGGTGTTAAAAACTAATTCACGCACATCTATCATTAATGGTGAGGCGCTTGACCGGACGTAACTCCGTTTATTTAGCGCACTGGTGATATGAATCTAACTGGAATAAGGCTCACAGGAAAACAGGGACGCCAACTGCGCATCACACACTGTGCTCTCAATAAATACACAACCACAAAGAAATATAAACGAGAATTGTTTCAACTCTAGGTAAAGTAGGATTTACACATAACAAGCTTTAAGACACTGGCCGATAATTTGCATCTGCTTTCGCTTCAACTTACCCTGAGTCATATTACCATAACGGCAAACTGTTTGCACAGAATCTTTCAGAGACTACAGATTTTATAGTCAGACTTCTCTGGTACATGTGTATTTCATAATGATGCCGCAAGTCGGTGCATTACAGTAGGACTACCACCACGGCACTTAAATTAAGCAGAAGTGGGGGCTGAAACTCCGTCGCAAGAGCCTTTATTCGCATGCATTCAAGGGTTCACTAGTTGTGGTAGTACCATTATTTGATTCTGCAACCATCTAGGGAGTTATATGCTTATTGAATTTGCCTGCAGTAACATATCGCGACGGTTGTATTAAAGAAGCTAAATTGTCGAATTCACAAAGTAGCATAAGACTAAGTTTTGCCTATAGTTGTATGGCTAATCAAGTTACACTAGGATAGCTACTTCACTACTTACTGATCGATCATTCACATTTTGCCAACCGGGGACAGATAGTTGGCACATTGCTTGACGTTTTCTGATCCTTTTGGTTTATAATTTCTAGGAGTCCATGGATGTTTTCTCATCAGCACGCTTGTATCCACGAAAGATCCTGCTAAGTCCACCCACGCTGCTGACCGCAAGCCTATATACAGTAAATCCATGAATGTTCGAAGCGGAAGCTTCACGTCATTTCTGTTGCATTACACCACTAAGGCATTTGTTTGGTAATATATACCGTGGTATCCTGCATGATAGGTTCTGCCTTGCTCTAACATCTCTCATCTTCAATGTATTTTGGATTTGCACACAAGCGTCTAATTCGTTTATGCGATTACCGGAGTATGGAGGAATGGTTTATGCTGCAGTTATTTGCTTAATATTATGGGTCCTTTTCCATCAACTTGATCATGCATCGGATTACAAGGATGTTCATTTGTTTGAAAGCTAATACAACGGATCTTGTTCGTTAAAGCAAAGACTATCATCCGTGTAGCGTTTCAGTGGAACGAAAATCAAGCTGAGGTTAGTACAACTAGATTGCAAAAATTGCGGCTAGTCGAGTACCGCAGAGTGAACCGATTGATGTAGCAGTGCAACTGATCTAACACTAGGAAAACTGAATCAGCGGTGCTATCTGAACTTAATCACAGTTTATGGTTACTCCCTCAGTTTGGTTATATGGTGTTAAAGAGGTGTTCAGCTAGTATCTGTCTTCAGGTTTCGTGTCACAGTTCAGCTACCTGCGCCTGGATAATATAAACAAGTGCCAAACAGGCCATGAAATGTAGCATTTATAGACACAGCACTAGATTTTTAACTGAATAACACCCACACCTTCTGAAGGGAGCAATAATTGATATCCATTCCTGATTTCACAACTTCGGAAGGTGTAAAGATGCCAGTGAGTAAACTGCATAAATAATACGTGAAGCTAGCGCATCAACTTGACGCAATCGCTGTTTAACTCTTGCTGTCGTGTTAATCAACATGAAACTTACAGACGTAGACCAGCAAGTGTGTATGGCAGAAAATGCGGCCAACATTTGGCTGTCCATTGTTCTCTGTATTCCATTCAACGTGGAACTTGGTACATTTAGTATAAATAATGCAAAATAATCAAATGAATTGTGTAACTTTTCTAGCATGATGTGGATTTCTCTAGAGAAAGCATGGCTTGCCAACAGCGTACCATAATTCGCAAGTTCATGTCCGCAAATAATTATTCGTTTAATTATTACCGATTCTCGTGATTTACTTCAACTACCAATACGACCGTTGAGAATGTGATGTCCCATGCCGACCCAGCTGCTCCTACTAGACTGCACTCACATCAAGCAACACTAGCATGAAATTAACCGTTTACGCTTGAACTGATTGCACCCATATTCTTCGTGGTTCAAGTAGTTATTATATTTGATCCCAGAGTTTACGCTTGGATGTTTCATGACCTCATTTATTATTAGGCCGGGGTTTCCAGCTTTCGCTTGTGATGGTTCTAGCTTATAGAGAATCGGCAATCAGTATTGCGTAGTATCATCAACTTACCTCCAAGATTGGCAAATTAAAAATACAATTACTGTTAGAAAAACTTGCATGATTCGTGGATCTTTTCCTACCCGAATTTTTCTGGTTGACGGGATATGTTGTCGACCAATTAGCCATTTAAGTTATTGTTTTCCATCTTTTTCTCTGCCATGCTACTTTAATTGATTCTGGTCCATAGATTTACAGATGATCTTAAGGAAACCACGCTGAATGTCATTAGTTATAAACATCTTGCGCAGAACTCGACATGGATTAGACCCAGTCAGCTTTCTTAGTTATGACAAATAGCCTACTTGAAACGCACTCTTCGTTGTTTTGGCAGTTTGTAAGGTGCTTTTAACATTCACCACGTACTTTCACATAGTTTCCTGGAATCCGGATGTTCTTCGCTGCATTTGCTTCCACTATGGTCCACTAATACAAGTTTAGTTAAAATTCCTTAAAATGTATACTAACGCATCATCGAATTAATAAAGGAGCACCCTCGTCAGTAAACTATTTTATGTCTACTCGTAGGGTTAGTGTGTAGCAGGGAATTATGGACTGATCGAGAAACGTCAATGGAAATTTCCATTAGTCTTTGAAATTGACCGACCTAATATGGCTGGTTATAATTATCTTCATTTCTGTTTGAATTTAGCTTGCTTGATTTGACCTTCTTATCTCTTTCTAGTAGATCTTTTTATATTCTATCAAGCTGGTAATTTGGTTTACGATCACTAGGTAGCAATACATTTACAAGGGCTGGAGTACAATTCTGTTGGAGAGATCAACCCGCGGCATTCTGCTAAATAATTCAAATGATCCACCCAAGCACAAGTATAAAAGGTAAAGAATGAAATGCTCAAAAACACAAGCTGTGAAACAGCTAGTCAGATACGGAATTGAGTTATGTTCGCCAAGTTACCTAACAAACATTCAGTAGTACGAAGAAAGGGTTCTGCAAGTGCATTCTCCAGTTGAGATGTATGCTGATGCACAGCGTGCACACGTTCATGGAAACCGTAATTATATGGTGTCGTTTACGTACTGAAATTAGAAACACTCAGGCTCCTTTGAAGAAGAAAGGAGCAAGCAGGCTAAACTAAATGGTTCCATATGCTCAGTCGGAGTGTTACTTTTTCACACGATCCAAGTGAGTCGCTAATGAAGCTCTATTTAATGACATCGTTGCGGTGCCCCTGAATCATCATTCCGTCATATTCATGTACTACCCTAAATCACAAAAGCGAATGGAACCCCGTCCTCGGCTGGACCTCCAACCTTCATATTGGTTACCTTATGTTTACCTAGGTATTTGCGTTTTCCATCAGTATTCTATTAGAGAAATGATGGCAGTATTTAGCTAATTTTCAACCCCACACCCTAAGATATTTACTGCTAGACTAACGAAGTACACACCGAATGTGTTTGCATCCGTTTTCTCCGACGAGCGAAAGAGTGCTTACTTTATCTTTCCAAAATATAACAGTTATTTGCAACTTTATCCAAATGCGCAGCTTGTCCCCAAAAATTATCTCTAAGGCAACAGCTCTAACAATGTCGGGCTGTTACTTACCTTATGTAGTGGTGTAGGCTGCACGTATAATAAATCAAATTAAAGAGTGCAAGTAGTTTTACAATGGTGTATGGCCCCAGGACTTCAACTGACCTATGATTGACCTGCGTACTCAGGCCAATAAACATGACCGCAAGCTACCAGTCTAAGATGATATCCCAATGAA